GAATGTCGGTGATGAGGGCAGGCGAGGGAATGGAGGTCAAGTTACCGACGGCACTTTGAGCTGACGTCCCGTGAAGGAAGAGGATTCGGCGCAAAAAGGTGCGCCGGATCGCGAAGAAGTGGGGGAAAGTGTTGAAGGGATGGGCTGAGTGTCGGAGGGAAGAAGATTCTCCGGCTCGACCAGGCCGTCCGCTGGCCGGCAGCGCTTGACATGGGCGTTAGCCAGTCGAAGCGCCATCCGGGTCTGCGGAAAGTGGAGGTTGCAGTGCCTACACGCGTAGCGCCAATGCACTTTTGTGGCCCCGTGGTTGCCCAGAAGGTGACGGGTGACGGACTGCTGGCCAAATTTGCCGTCCGACTGCTTGGCCGCGTATTGTCTCCCGCAGCCACCCGGACAACCGATCATATCGGGGGTGGGAAGGAACACCAGCACTTCCCAGACTCCATCGAGTTGAGTGGCTTGGAGCGTGGCTCCTGTGCAGGCCACTCGTGTGGAGGCGTCCGGTGGTGTTGACATGAGCTGATGGTGAGGTGAGCTGAAAATGGTTACGGGTGAGGGGGTGGTGGTACACGGGGGATACAGTTACGAATGTACAACGAAATATATAACAACAAGAGTAAAAGAAAAGAATAAAAAAATAATGTGTAAAATGTACAACCGCTTCTCGCCGGTGCGAGACGTCGTCGTCTTCCCGATCGCCCGACTCGCTGCACTTCGCACCGGATTTCGTCGTCGGCGACTGCAGGCCGGCACAGGGACACTTCGGGATTCTTCCGTCCCTCGTTCGCTCCCTCTCGCGCGCTTCTACGTACCGTCCTGCTCGTCTGCCGCTGCCTTTGGCCTCGCTGTCGGTGTTCGGCCCTCGGTTCCGCTTTTAACGTTTCTTCCTCCTCGAACCGTTCGCCCTTTTCTTCTGGTGCTCGTCCCGACGCGGGATTTTCACTTCGCGTCTCCCTTTTGCTTTCACCCAGGGTCACCTGCGGTACACCCTTCTCTCGACAAGACACCAACCAAACAGATACTACACTTTGGTCCTAGCTTAAAGGCCGAAAAGTCAGAAGTCATTGTAAATGTACAGAAATGTACTAACGCTTCTGGGCGGTGCATTGCGTTTTCCCGCCTTTTGGTTCAGCGACCCGGAGTTTGTGGGCCGAGGAGTGGCATTGGGAGGACGGCCGTTCTGTTTTGCATTGATCTTTTCCCAAACTTTACGCGCCACGCTGCTGCAGTCCCTCTGCCTCGACGCTCCGTTTTCGTTCCGTCCGTGTGGCTGTTTCTACAAATATTTCTTCATCTTCATCTTCATCTTCCATCGCCGCTTCTCTTTTCGGCTCGCGGAGGCAGACGCATCAGACGGAGCTTCCAACATTCCCAAATCAGTGCCAGGGTCTGAGCTTCGGCAGAAGAAACTGGAGTCTGGAACAGACGTCCTTTCATATATTTGCACCAGGTTGGAGTTACGTAGTATTCGTTTCTGGAGGCATTCGCAACACATGGCCAAACCATCGCAGCTGTGACTTCTCAATCTCGAGAAGCAAAGGATGTACACCAAGGCTCTTCCGCATCTCAGTATTCCGGACCATTCGAGACGCGTAAGGCGAGCACTCGTCTAAGAATGCTAAATACTTCTTTTCAGCTTCTTGGTTGTGCTTCCATTGATCAATGGCATGCGCCAATCTTTCGTAGTTCAACGTCGAGTCGCCTTCGGTACATCCTATGACAAAAAGCCAACATTCATCACAGAGATCACAACGAACAGCATGCACCAAAATGAAAGCAATCTTACGAAATCCATACCTTGAAAATGGCCGGGTGGTCTGACCAACCTCTTCCTACACGTCAGGCCGAATGAAGCAATCGAACTTCTGTCTTATTTTAAGAAGTAGCACAGACAAAATTCAGAATGGTTTCGATTTCACAGCGATTTTCCACCTTTGCTGTAACGCAGTAATTGATTTGCATAGATGCGGGAAGAGGAGGAACAATGCAAGAACATTCAGCGAAGCGCTCCAATGGCATACACCAGATTTATCTTCAATAGATTTACATGATGTTGCCTGAAGCAAACAAACGGGATTTTCAAGCGTTTCCGAACGACGCTGGAGGTCGCTGTGAAAACTGCTCCTTTCAAGGTCGCAGAATCAACTGAACAATCGATAAACATATTCAATAACTTCCCCTCGTTGTATGAATCACAAATGTTAGCCATGCTTCAGAGATCATGTGATTAGTCGATCGATATCGATTATATTGTAATAAGAAATGACCAGAAATCATCTTCAAATTTCAAATTTTAATGACTTGCAAGTTCATGCGTTTGAAGAATGCCTCTATACCTCTGATGCTATTTTTCCCAGTATCAAAAACCTAAAAGACTATAAAATTAGAAATGCATGTGATCTACCAGTAAACATAGCGCTACATCACACGAGACGGCTAAGAATCCAACATTTACTGAATACTGCTTCAAAATATCTGTTTATAGATAGTTTCATTGTTATTCTGTGTTTTATGATGTAAACAACGTCGCACAAGAAA